ATTGCTAAATGGTTGGTAGGGATTTTATTAAGAGCATAGCTGTGTTAATGTGCTTTAGAAAGGCTGAAAAACAGTGAATATTCATTCGGCACCGTGTCTGAGTCCACTAGAGGCTTTCAGAGGTGCACCAAGGTCTGTGAGTTCATCAACTCCTCCAGAAACTGTTACTGGAAGATGGAAGGCCAGCCTAGTTTTAAACAACAGGCACTCGGTCATAATCATGCCCCTAAAAGAGCAAGCTTCTGATTGTTTAACGTGGCGCGAATGTCTGCTGAAGTTCAGATTTTCCAACTTGAGTGATCCGTGCGATTTGAGCGTCAACAGTAAAAACATTTAACTCGCGCTGCTTTATTCGCATCAATCATGTCATTTGTGCAAATCGTGCCGCAGGATGTCTATTTATGTCTTTCCTTTGACTTGTAAATCATGATTGAGGCTTTATCCGCGTCTGGTGTGAACGCAGCATTAGACACCTCGGAAAACAAAAAACTATGTTTATTTCATTAGTATGTTTATTTATTGCATTTATCTATGGTTGTAGATTGCTTATTATAATTTATGCAGATGCACTGCCCAAAAGACCCATCCCAATCGATAAAAAAAAAATCTGTCCAGTTAGAGATATTCAAGTCCTCTGGTGAAATTGTACTTATATCTCAATATATATTGCAGAAAATAAAATATTGCATATTTTTCCAATATTGTCCAGGCATATTTAACAGGCTTTCAAAATAAATTGAAATCTTATATATATCTAAAAACTGCCATTTTTAAGTAAGGACACGTTTTTTACGACCTCAAAATACTCACCACAATTATCTTGCAAATGGTGTTGTGTTTAAGGCTTTTAAGTGTCAAACATGTAAAAAAAAAAAGTTCAATTCTCATTTATATTTGTGTAAATAAATCAAATAATTGTTAAAAAAAAAATACTTTTATTTAGAGACCATTTATCAATGATACTTGAATTAAACAAATAAATGCAGCCTCATTAAAAAAACTTCTTTCGAAAACATTTGAAAATTTCCCCAAACTTTTGAAAGATATTAGCAAACTTAGTTAATTTTTGTCTTAGAAAACGTCGCAAAAAAAGCTAAAAAAGGCCGGGTGAAAGAAAAAAGGCAGCCTAATTTTCAAATCAAAAGTTAACAAACAAACTGATTTTCATATTCATAGTGCGATGCGTGTATACTGAAACTCTATCAAGGTATAAACTCGCAAGGGATAAAAGTATGTGTGGCACGCGAGAAAGAATTAACATATCAAAAAGGAAAACAGAAAACAAAAGCTCATCTCCCGCCAAGCTCACAGAAGTCTCCCCAAATCTGCTATTCTCTGTAATGGAGTGTTTGTCAAAGTGCACTCCCTCCTCAATTCTCTCTCCATAAATGTGTTTAAACAGGCGATGACATCTTCAACAGCTCCCCCCGTCCGGGCCGGTTCCTCTGCTGGAGGTGCTGATGGAAGCTGACGGCTGCTGTGACACATTTAGCTGATCTAAGATCTGCTCGTATGACCTGACGTGAGCATTCACACTGACACTGACTGGAGGTGACACCGCCACTGGAAGTCATTCATTTTTCAATGAGACTCGCTGATTTCCAGTGACATGAGCGATTTGTAGGTCGACAAAGTTGAGGAAAGTTTTAATTTATGAGAAATGAGCAGCAGTGCGATCCGTTTCCTGTGAGACACTTGAGATGACTTGGATGGAAATGATAAGAAATGCATGCACGTCAGTATTTATTTTGTATTATGCACTGATGCATTTGATATGTAAACATGTTGAGCAGGAAGTAAACTTAATCAGGGGCTATTAATTAGTTTTCATTGCAGTGCTCATGTAACACCCCATTTTAAAAATGAATATTTGTATCCATTTCTCAGTGAATACAAGCGGTGTATTTTGGTGCATTTAAACAAAACAGATTTACTAAACAGATATATTTATTAAAATAATATTTTAGTCACCAAACATATTTAGAAATTGGAAGATAATACAATTAAATTTAAAAACAAAAAAATCTCAACCTATAAAATTTGAACTAAATTTTTACATTTTTTCACCTTCTTTTTAAATTTGTATGTAATATTTTTCTTTATCCAAAAGTTCTGTCTGTTTATCGAATCTGATTGGCTGATAGCCGTGATATATTCAAGTAATACAGCCTCTTTACCCTTTGTGTATTACTCCGCCCACATACAGCCAGCAACAAGCAGACACTACAAATCTAAAGTGTCGTTAGAATCTTTAAAAGAAGCTTGCTCAGCTGTTTAACTGTCAGCTTATGATTTGAATCCTATGCGGAAGAAAGTAGTTCGTCATACAAAAGGGTTTTTAAGACTCTCCATGTTTGATTTTGTTTTTATATACACAATTATGCTGTCAAACTGTTGTATAAACGCAATATCACACTCGTAGCAGTGTGATATGGCTGTATATCGGCACTGGTGGGGGCACTAAGGCACTCAGCCTGCGGCCTCATGTCAACGCACGCCTCCCACCAGTGCCGATATTCAGCCATATCGCACTGCTACTCGTGTGATATTGCTCATATAACACATAAATGTGGGTGTACTAGTTTTTGGACCGTTATTGTAAGTTATTTTGTTAGATAAGCTCCAGATTTGGCTTCAGTACTGTCTAAGCTAATGTATATGCACAAATATAATATTGTACAGCTTCCTATTAAAAATATGAATTTAAAAGAGAGATTTGTGAGGGGTGTACTTATATATCGCCCCCTTGGAATTATAAGATTCTATCTGCGTTCTGAATGATTTTGAGATATTGACCTTCAAAGTTTTTGCATTTAATATAGCAAACAATATGTGTGTAGCAGTTCTCTTTCATACAATAACATGACAGAGACCTTAAATGTACTTTAAATGTAAATTATTAAAATTCTCTTACATTTGCAAATTGGAGTAAAAAAAAAAAAAAAAAAACACGGTAAATGCAGATAGAACCTTCTCATTCTGAAAAGACATTTATGACTTAAATTTCCTATCAAGCCGTTTATGCAGAATTTTTAGAAGTGACACTGACTTTGTTTACATGGACATCACTTATCGAATTATTTGCCTTAATCTAATTAAGACAATAATAAGATGAAGGCGTTTACATGAGCTGCATTTTAAATGTTTCTTTCATGATCCCGTTTTACATGTTAAAACACATAATTAGATTAATATCATTGCGTCAACGCGCTATCCACATTTCCTCCAGAGTTTCATGCAATTTCGGATGTCTCATTATTAATTTGTGGACTTTGATTGCGGTTTGGCACTTTCACTTTATGCGGGCATGCCCCCCGTGACAAAAGAGATATTGGATGCAAGTATGAACTGCTGGAAGAGTGTTGTTTTAATGGAAGTTTATATCGCATGCTGAATGGAAGAAATAAAAACATCCGCATTTCACGATGCAGGTGTCTGGTCTGCACTGACTCGGTAGGTGCAGAGAGTGTCAAACAGCATGTCAAACAATGTGTGTCTGTGTGGACTATCCTCACGCAAAACACGGCGAAAAGCCCTACATGACGGTAATAGTTCGATTGTGGTGTTCATATGTCTTCATGCACTTCAATAATGCGACTAAAATCAGCATACTCATGTCTTAATTTGATTTCTCTTTTAGTTCGATTATGACCTTAATCTGATTAATCAAAAATATCTGTTTTGGTAGACTCTTAATCAGAGTAATGTCTTAATCGCGTTACAATCAAATTAACGGTGTCCATGTAAACATAGTCATGATGTACCTGCTCTTTCTGGGAAATTTCTAATTAGAGTGTAGCTCACTTATTTGGGTCCTTTTGGATTAAAGTGCATTTTTAAAAATGCTTTCATTATCCAACATAACCCTATTCGTGGATATTTATTCCTTTTTATGTGTCCTCTAGTATCCCCCTTATTTGTGTTTAAGGCTACTTAAATTTAATTCATAATTCCCCTATTGTTTAAAAATGAATTACAGTTTGTAGAGACTGTATTCTCTTTTATTTCCACTGTAAAAATCTTTTGTTGTTATTGCAATAAATAAATAAATAAGTGCTCACGCTATGTGCAGGTCATCATGGCTGCAGCAACTTTGAGCCCCGAAGTGTCCGGCCCGATCACCTGCTGCGTTCTTTCTAATGGTCACATAACTTTCTCACATGTTAACGGGCCATACAAGCCTTACATAGATACTTTGCACAATACAAATAAAACATTTTAATATGAATTCCAGCAAATAAACGAGCTTCACTATCTATTTTTAAATTACTTCTAAAAATCAACCTATTTAGCCTGGCTTTTTAATATTATTTAAAAGTCCTTTCTACTGCTTTATTTTTACATTTATTTGAACAATGAGTTGTTTCTTTTGGCTTATTTTTATCTTTTTATCTTACTTAGTGGCTGTTAGTGTTAATGTGCTCTATAAATAAATGAACTTTAATTTTTTTTAAAGATTTTCTGGTGAAAGAAATACTTTCATTGCCTCATTAAGGGGAATTTCTTGAGATAAATTATAATTCTGAACTTTAAAAATAATTTGGTATATAAAATGCACCCTTTCCAACCTCCTTTATTTAGCTGCAATGACTTCTGGGAGTTCTAGAGCGAGTACTGCATTCAAGTCTGCATTTGATGCATCCTCAATATCCAGATATCAAGTACTCTGTTCTTGAGGTCTGAACATTGGTGGTTGATGATGACGTTACACGAGAACACGAGGACACGAAATATAGAGAAACAGCAAGAGTCGCTTCAAAAGACACAAGTGTAACGATCATGTCTATTAAGCGTGTGTTTACATAAAAAAAACAATGAGAAGTAGTGCATCGAAATGGAACAACCCTCACCCTGTACTGGCAGTACATATAGATTGTAATCAGATTTTTAAGGCTATGACCAGTTATGCATTTATCCTGCGGCCGAATCGCTTACCAGCAAGTAACAGAATCATGACCTGAAGACCTCCAACTGCAAAATCTTTTCAAGTCTGCACTGACCTCTGTGACTCCCTGCAGGAAAGCTTCTTTGGCCAGTTTGGCAGGGCCGTCCACTGTCTTCCCATCATCCTCTGGGCCCCAGCTGGCGCTGTAAATGTGGATGTGCTGGGAGTTCAAGCTTAGAGACTGAGCCTCCACAACATCTGTTACCTCTCCATCCAACATGCGCACACCTGCATGCAGAGCAGAGACAGACAGAAAGCGAGTCAATGAAGATACCAGAGAGACAGGAAAAATGGGTTTTGCAGAAATGTGCTGTCTGTAAACTGATGGACATTTTCAAGAGAAAATGAAAACGAAATGAAGAAGGTGCACAAGTGTGCAGCACAAATTGCTCTACTCGAACTGAAGACAAAACCAAAGCTGAGCAGACTATATCTGATGTTAAATATAAAACTATTAGAAGGAGTTTGATCAATGAGGCTTAACTGAGGTTTTTGATTCCCGTATGCAAAGGATGTCCAAATGTGACAGCAGAGACAGCATTTAATTGATCACACATTATTAATATTAAAATTTTGGTAACACTTTACAATAAGGTTCATTAGTTAATGCATTTACTAACATGAACTAATCATGAACAACACATGTACAGCATTTATTAATCATAATTGAACATTTACTAATGCATTATTAACATTCGAGTGCATGCTTGTTAACATTAGTTAATGCACCATGAGTTAACATGAACTAACAATGAACTACTGTATTTTCATTAACTAACGTTAACTAACATGAACAAATGCAGTAGTAAATGTGCTGTTCATTGTTTGTTCATGTTAGTAAATGCATTAATTATCATTAAGTAATGAACCTTATTGTAAAGTGTGACCAAAATGTTATTTTCGAATCTCTGATTCTTTTTCTTTTCAGAATTGTTTGACATAAAAACATGTCTTTATTGTCACTTTCGATCAAATTACTGTGATGAATAAAATGGTAGCTTTAAATAATAAGCAGCAAATCCGCATACTACTTTTTTTCAGAATCATCCCAGCAGACACAACATCATAAGATTTAAATATTAGGTTTTAAATATAAGATGTAGGTTGCCAGTGTCTAAAGACAATGTTATCATGGCGTCCAATAACGACATTGATATTTTGTTGATTTTAGGTTGTGTCGAGTCAACCAACATCATACTGACGTAAAGTACTGACATTTACTCATCAGGTGGGCCAGACAGATTCTGCGGACATTTTTGGCTATTTCTATAAATTTCTATTTCTATTTCTATTTTGTAAAAATTCTGCGGATTAATGTGGAATGATTTTAGGAGTATCATAACTAAAAACTAAATATAAGAAATAAAAAATAATACATTTTAACTGGCATTTTAAGAGTTCACACTTAGCTGATGATTGGTAATAAGCTAGTTTGGCATGCTGTCCCGGGAAAGATCCCTGAGCTCATGAGATCCTCGAGCCCGAAGCTCCCTCCCGTTAGCAGCCTCTTTCTTTTTTTCTTTTTTCCATAATAAAATTGGGCAAAAAATACCTCGATCAAATAATTATAGATGTTTATATTTATAACTAGCTTTAGTATATAGTTAACTAGAGAATAGAGATAGAATGTAAGAATAATAAAGTATTACGTGTGCTATTACAGCTAAAACGCATAATAATTTCGCTTTTATAAAGCCACTGCAACTTTAAAAGGGAAAATATTTCCCAACCTAACACAAACTTTTTAATGTGTAAATGTTATTTTCAAAGTCTAACTTCTTTAGTCGGAGATGAATTGCTTGTTTAGTGTCCGACTAGAACGCGGCGTAAGAAGGGGAAGAAAAATCTAATTAAAAAAGAGTGATTCTGTGGCCGTTTGTTTGATTAATAATAATCCGAGCAACAGGATTCAGACACTTCATGCACCCACACACACACGACCCAGCGGCCAATTAGATCAACAACATCTGCTGTCTATACACACACACACACACACACACACACACACACACACACACACACACACACACACACACACACACACACACACACACACACACACACACACACACAGAGGCAGATTTATCCTCATAATGAAGACACAGAAAAACACAGAAATCACATGCAGGCTCAGGCAACGGCCTCTGCCTTAATCACTCGCATCTAGATGTAGAAATATTTTCCTACAAAGACTAGTAAGTAAAAGATGTGGAATTTGCGCTCGCCTGCAGCAATGTCTGGCCTTGAATGCGCTCAATGTGACTGGAATAACCCAGATATTCACCTTAATGGATGCGTTTTATAATTGAAAGATAAAGTGTTTTAGATTAGTCCGGAGCAGCGTGACGACACGTGCACAAAGACTAGGAAATGAGAGCTTCTTAAAAAGCTTCAATGCCTGACTGTCTTGATGGATCCGATTTGCATATGCAAATTTGCCAATCACTCACCTCCAATTTTGGCATTGTAAGCCACACCCACTCCGCAGACGCCATTGTTCGCTGCTGCTGCCACCTCGCCGGCACAACGTGTGCCATGTCTGGAAAGATAAAGAAGGAAGAGTTTGCAAAAGTGACACCTCCGGTTCACATTCAGTTCAACCGAATTCTAATGCAGTCCACTATTGTACAGGCAAATTCTGTCTCTTCAATAGAGAGGTCGCTCTCGGGCACCCAAATACAGACGCATTATCTTTATTCTTTAATTAAAATCTAATTACGTCCTAGCAGGAGACAAGGATAAATAAATAAATGGCTGATTATGGTTGTCACTTGTGTGGCTGATCGCTCCTGCAGACAAATCTCCGAGGCTCAGAGCTGGGGTGGGGATGAACTTCACTGTCGAAAAGAAATCGCAGCTGGCTTGTGGGGCTTTTTTTTTTTCCCTGTATGTGCACTGCAAAAGCTATTTTCTTCCATTCATCTGCGTCCTATTGGAGCTCATTGTTTCCCTGAGACAAAGAGGACGATTGGGAGCCCGGAAAAGAAGCCGGAGAGCCCATGAGGCTGCAGATGTGTTGAGACAGCGGCCTCGCTTCACCAGAGCCTTCATTACATCTGCCGCTTTACACAAAGATATACACGAAAGGATTATTAGGCGCACATGAACTCCATAGCCCAAAACAACAGAAGAGAAAACCACACAAATTAATATGCTTTGTAGACCACGGAGTCCCAAGACAAAACAAAAATGCACTAGCACAATAAGAGAGATGATAAAAGCTAATTCACACGTCTGGAGTATCATGACAGCGGCTCAGCCGTGATGCTTTGCCTTTGTAAGTAAGTGAGACATATTTCTAAAAAGATCTTTTAATATTGAGTAACTAACATTTGTGTTATTCTGAAATTTGTTCCAGAAAAGACACAGCAGAATTAGCTATTAATTACATTCAAACAACAGACTGTAGTGATTGTCTAACAACAAGTTGTGACACTTTATTCTGATGCCCAGACAATTTGTTGATTATAAGCAGGGCCAGACGGAATCTACAGACATTTTTTGCTATTTCTGTGTAAAGTTTTGTTGAAAATCTGCGGATTTATGCGGAATTATTTTGGGAATATCATACCTAAACCTTAATATATGAAATAAAAGTAATAACTCTTTAACTTTTAATAATTGTTTACAATGCAAATCATATACACTTGTAATCATGTTTATTTATCTGCACACTACTGATTATTAATAGCAACCTGCACATATATTCATATATTGTAACATATACACATGTAATCCTGTTAGTCTATCCCTGTACATATATTCATATATTGTAACATATACACTTGTAATCATGTTCATCTATCCCTGTACATATATTCATATATTGTTACATATACACTTGTAATCATGTTTATCTATCCCTGTACATATATTCATATATTGTAACATATACACTTGTAATCATGTTTATCTATCCCTGTACATATATTCATATATTGTAACATATACACTTGTAATCATGTTCATCTATCCCTGTACATATATTCATATATTGTAACATATACACTTGTAATCATGTTTATCTATCCCTGTACATATATTCATATATTGTAACATATACACTTGTAATCATGTTTATCTATCCCTGTACATATATTCATATATTGTAACATATACACTTGTAATCATGTTTATCTATCCCTGTACATATATTCATATATTGTTACATACACACTTGTAATCATGTTTATCTATCCCGGTACATATATTCATATATTGTTACATATACACTTGTAATCATGTTTATCTATCTGCACACTACTGATTACTGATAGCAACCTGCACATTTATTCATATATTGTAAATCTGTTCATAGCTTATCCAACCTGTATATAATGTTCATAGTACATCCATCCCAGCTGTAAATATCACCATAGTTTTCTATAACTGCACTTTATAACTTATTCCTGTATCCTGCACTTGCTGCATATTGCACTGCTGGTTAGACCTAAACTGCATTTCGTTGCATTGTACTTGTACATGTGTAATGACAATAAAGTTGAATCTAATCTAATCTAATCTAATTAGATCCACTTTAGCTTGTAAACAAAGTCTCTCCTATAATATCTCTACTAAAAGACGATAAATATTACTTTACAAACTGTATTCATGAATCATGTGAATATTTTCATATTAGTCAATAATATTACTGTAATTAATTTAAAAACGGAATAAATAAAAATGTACACACATTTACTTAAGTAAATAAACAGAATTAATGATGGGCTAAAAATCTTCGGAATTCTGCGCACGCAGATTCCGTGTGGGCCTAATTACAAGTAAGATATTGCATGTCCATTGGCGGTCTTTAAAGTATTTATAGACTGCCTGCTTAGCATCTACAAAGACTTTATTATGATGCTCCACCAAAACTCTAATGCCGAGTTCAGACTGCATGATTTTCTAAGTAGTCGTGTCACAGACGTTTTTACACTGCAGGACTATCTGGGCTGGCGTTTTGTCACTGCTTTGTTTACACTGCAAGATGGATGGGCGACAGGGGCTTTCACATTGCATGACTTTACAACAGGAAGAATTGCCGACAACTTCGTCCAAACTATGTCTCACAGCCAAAAACACATAGTCTGTTGTTATAAACTTCATAACAAGAAAGAAGCCTTTAATGGGGTAGAAAATGTACATATTTGCTCACCTGGGTTTGAAGGAAATTAGCAACTTCTCCTCAACTTTCTTTTTTAACTTTCTGTATGAAACGTCAAACAGACACGGGTGCTGCTGTCAAACCTCCACTAGTTTTTCCTCCACTTCTTGGGTCCAAATAAATCGAAAATGAGCGCTTTTAACTTCTACCCCAACCTCCCGCTGGCCTGCAGGTACACACACACAAGTGAATGCTGCTCTCTCATTGGCTGTAGGTGATCGCTGATGTTATTTTCAGTCAAAACTAATGTCACACAGCAGGATTTGAATCGCCGACAGCTCCAGATATTTAGCATGCCAAATATCTCACAGGCATCGGCGACCCATCGGCGATTCTCTCAGATCGCAACTTTGATAGTTCATACTGTGTGATTGTCACTCACATGCACGAGCACCGATTTGCCTTTGATTTCAGGCACTTGTCAGCGATTTCTCAAAACCTGTCACCGAGTCAAAATCGGGGCTAAAATCATGCAGTCTGAACTCGGCATAACCTTACTAATACTAAAACTAATAGTAAAGTTGTAGCATTACTTAAAGCAAACATGAAACACAAGGTAAAATGTACACATAGACATCACCTATATACAATACCTGACAAAAGTCTTGTTGTCTATACCAGTAAAAGCAACAAATAATAACTTGACTTCTAGTTGATCATTTGGTAGATTTTTCAGATGAATTATCTGTTGAACTGCATCCCAATCATCCAAATATAAATAGGTGTAATCTAGATGCCTTTGCCTTTTATATAAGCCACTTCTGATACCAAATGATCAACTAGAAGTCAAGTTATTATTTGTTGTAGTATCCTAAAACTTGGATAGGCTTCTGTCAGGTAGTGTACTTTAGAACTGCAGGTTAACTATGTTTAAATAAATGTTACTATAACTAATAACCTTAACTTTTCCAAATTTGACTGTAATGCAGGAACGTGCACCTTGAGTAAAGCTGCTTTGAACCAATAATTATTGTGAAGAAAAGTTCTAAAGCAACCATCAATTTAAATTCATATTAATAAATCAACATACAGTCATGCAGTCTAGAATGTTCTTTTACAATCTTCATCTGAAATTAATTAAAAGCGGAATTTTTTTAATTAAAGCATTAAATGCAAAAGCAAAATAAATAAATAAATAAATGAACTAGTAAAACCTGAACCAGAATATATTATATCTCATCACTTTAATTAGTGTAAGAAAGCAGAATTAGTAGTTCATAATAAAGGCAACACATATTTAATCTAGGAACATTTTTGAGTGATGATTTAAACAAACAAACAAAGATGAATCTTTTCTGTAACACTTTATTTTGATGGTCCATTTGAGTATTAGTAGACTGTCTGCTTAATATCTGTTGACACTGCTCCTTCAACAGACATTTAACTGACTATAAGAAACCTAGCAAATACATGTCGACTTAAACAAACCCTAACCCCAACCTAACAATCTACTTATAATCTAATGAGAATTAGTTGGCATGTAGATGCAATGTAACTTAAATTCAACAAACGGGCCATAAAAATAAAGTGTGACCAATCTTTTAAACTCAATGGGCTCTATTTTGACAGTCCATGCGCAGAGCGCAAAACGCAGAGCGCAAACACTTTCAGGGCGTGTCAGAACGCATTTTTGCTAATTTAAGGACGGGAAAATCTGCTTTGCGTCATGGCGCATGGTCTAAAAGGGTTGAGTTATTTTCTTAATGAGTTATAGGTGTGTTTTGAGAATAAACCAATTAGAGCCTCATCTCCCATTCCCTTTAAGAGCCAGCTGCGTCGCGCCAAGAGCGCATTCGCTGTTTACAGGACGTAAAGTAAGTCTAAGTGGAAAAACTGGGCATTTCACAAGCAAACAGTTAACAGTTAATAGTTTTTTATCAGAAAACTGTTAAACAGAGCATCTACTGCGTGAGAATGAGAGATAATGGAACTACTTTCACATTTGCTCTTGGATAGGGAAACCTTTACGCACAGACATCAATTAGTCTATAAATAATTAATTGCATTTGTTAAGCGCAAATATTCATTTCAAAACTATTTCTAAATTCAGTTCTAATTTCCAGCAAACGAAAAAATGAACAATAATAACAAAGTGTGGTCAAAAACCTGAGTTATATCCTAAAACACATGCTGTGCCCCATATGGTCTAAAACCTGGCAGGTGGACAAATCTAAGCTTGTTTTTAATAAAACAAATATAAATATGGATATAATAAATAATACTGCTAATAATAATAAAAAAAAAGCCTGAAAAAGCCTCCCGAGATGAAGAAGACATAAAAGCAGTGATTTTTCATATTTATGTAGGCTGGAAAATAATATGTTTTGTAATATTTTAATCCTTTATATTTATATCCTATATCTATTCTTATTATA